ACAAGGGCGGAAGTCGGGTCTCTGCGAACAATTACAGACCGGTCAGCCTCACCTCCATTTGCTGTAAGATTATGGAGAAGATAATAAAGCAACAACTAATGCAGTTCCTTGAACAAAACCATTTGCTTTCCGATTCTCAACATGGATTCCGAAAAGGCAGATCCTGTGTGACAAACCTGCTCTACTGTCTGGAACACTGGACTAGGGCTGTTGATAGAGGAGATATGGTGCATGCCATCTATATCGACTTTAAAAAGGCCTTCGATAGTGTGCCTCACCATCGTCTTCTATACAAACTTAGCCGTGCAGGAGTGCGGGGTAAGCTTCTGATGTGGATTCGGAGCTTTTTAATCGGCCGCTCTCAAGCCGTCCACGTCGGTGACCAACAATCTGCCGAGGTTGCCGTTAAGAGTGGTGTTCCCCAAGGCTCCGTTCTTGGCCCTACGCTTTTCCTCGTATACGTCAATGACTGCGCAAACGAACTGAATTGCGATGTTGCAATGTTTGCCGATGACATAAAGATTTGGAGTACCATACGAAACGAAGTTGACGAGGCGCGACTGCAGACAAGTCTGGACCACCTCGAGCAATGGTCGAAAGACTGGCTTCTACCGTTCAACGTAAACAAGTGTACTTTCCTACGCGTCGGCAGAACCAGTTCTCCTAACCACACGGTCTACCGTCTGACTGGCACACCACTGCAAGAAGTCGACGCCCAGAAGGACTTGGGTGTATGGATCACAACCTCGCTTAAGCCTTCGCTGCAATGTTCAAAGGTGGCCAAGTCGGCGATGTCCATGCTATACCTTGTCAAACGGGCGTTCACCTCCTTTGATGAAGACTGTTTCGCCAAGGTCTTTCAAACTTTTGTGCGACCGCATCTGGAGTATGCTATCCAAGCATGGCGACCCTGGACCGCCAAAGACTTGGGCATACTCGAAAAAGTTCAACGGCGAGCAACAAAACTTGTATCTGGGCAGTGGTCACTACCCTACGAAACGCGATTAGCTAATCTTGACCTCTTTCCTTTGAGTTACAGACAGCTACGTGGGGACCTGATACAAGCTTTCCGCATCATGCGCAATCAGGGCTGCTGCCTCCCGTTTGGAGACTTCTTCGAGTTGGCGACTACGACTAACCTGAGAGGCCATCCACTCAAACTGCGTGTGGCTGGCGCCCGGCTAGACACCCGAAAGTTCTTCTTCTCCAACAGAGTGATTGCAGCTTGGAATGCCTTGCCTGAGGATGTTGTTATGTCAGGCTCGGTAGATACTTTTAAATGGAGACTAGATCAGCATTGTAGCGCGCACCACAATAACGCCGGACTACGGCTACCTTGACAGCCAACGCGAACAATTTAGTGTTATAACGATGCTACTGCCAACATTTAAGTAATATATGTTTATGTTATTTATTAAGCTTGGGCCACGTCGCACACCGCTGTTCGCATTCACCACGATGCCTGTAGACTAAACAATTTTACCTCTTTTTCCCGTGTCTTAAGTGTGCCTCAACTGTCCGCTTTATTTTGACCAACAAAGCAAGTTAATGTGCCTCTAAACTCTGTTAACGCATGACATTCTGTGTTCATCTGTACAGTTTTTGCTATTCCCCTCGCATTTCTTTCATGTTACTTCCTTTCCATTTCCTCCATATATATCCTCTGCATGTAACCAATAGGGATTTCAAAGGTACACACCTACTTTCCCTGAAATATACTGATACTGATACTGATAATATGGCGACGTATGACACGCGTTTATCGGTCTGCGCCGAGTCCCCGTGAACCCATAACTCTACCATCCATGCTTATGGTGGCACTCCTCAGACGTAGGCCATCATGCCGTGTCAGCCGTTAAAACTGCGCCCCCAGCGGGCAAGGATCGATGGGCGGAAGTCCCCCTTCTCTGTCCAAGTTGTCAAACCATGGAATGCCCTTTCTGCAGATGTTGTGATGTCACTTTAAAAAGAACCCTGGCATATTTGTGTTCCAAAATGACCAAGAGGGATAAGAGATCGAACTCATCCCCTGAGACTCATTCCCATTTCCTCATACCATTATGGGTTCATTTAAATTATTTCAGCCCAGACAGTTTCTCCGTACACCGCACCCAGTACTACTTTGCAAATAGGATACTCAAAGGCTCACGTCTATTTCCCTCAATAAACTGAACTGAAATGATCCACTGCGTTCAATCCCCTCATCCATCGGTTAATAGTCTCAGACACCTGACTGATGCATGGGGAGGAGGGAAATGAGAGTGCCGTCGACACTAGACAATATATTTCTTCAGCGTACCAGCGCGTTCTTCACTACAGTCTATCTGAATGCAGGTTGGTCAGTCGACCTAGTTGCCGAGAGCAAAAGCTGTGCGTTCACAACATACCTAGACGCTGCCCTCGGTCTTTGCTAGCACTTGGGAGGCTGAATGAAGGATATTGGATGCAAGGGTGAGTTAAACGTAGGAGGAAAGTCTTGTAGAAGGTTGGCCGATTATTATGTCATCCCAGCTTGGCCCCTCAGGCAGCTTCTCGAGGCGTCTCAGAAACTGCGTTGGCTCTCTACCGTCTTGATTCACCCCGGAGCTCTACGCTGCAACCGTACCTTTGTGAAAGACTCGGTGCAACCAATGACGGCTGTCTCGGCAGTTATAAAAAAACGTGTCTGCTGGCAGGCTGTCAATACTATCACGAAGGTCGTCGACAGTGTCCAATGAGATGGCAGCCTTGACACAATAAGACGGATCAGCTGTTAGAACAAACAAGACTCGATTACGCACTGGCACCAGACAATGTCGGTGGTAAATACCGCAGGTAGTTATATGGAAGCCGGTTCCGCGCTGTTTGGGTGTGACAGTTCGAAATATCAGTGAGGAAGAAAAAGACTTATCGAGCAATGGAACGACAGTAGGTGTGCTAACTCGTGAAATTTTAACCGAAATTCTGAAATGCGTCCCCGTTTCTAAAAGATTACTTAAATAGAGTTGTAGAATTAATCGCCGTGAAGCCTAATCCCACAATAAGTCAGTTACTGCAAAATGCCGGCTTTCAAATGAACTTCTTTCGGCCGCATGCGAAACCTCACTCGGTGAAAAATGGCTACTTAAGTGGCATGAATTTTTCACATTGATTTTCGATGCCCTTAAAAATTCAATTATATGTCGTAGAAATCATCCCTAAAACTATTCACTCTTTTACTCATTCTGTAGAAAATTACTTTTCCTTGCAATTTTGCTCTCGAAGGGAGAGTATAATTCGGTTTGAAAAAAGTTTCTAATTATGAGATTATTTAATACCGTAAAATGCCCGTTCACAAAACATCATGTCTCTGCATTTACCAATGTGGCTTCTAAAGTTTGCCATTGGGCTCAAGTCCACTGCTACATTTAATAAAGTCTATATGGTTTCTTTTTGATGCTGTAAAGAAATATGTGGTTTTCCGTACGCGCAAAATATACGGTTAATAGTTTAGAAACTCTGAATACAAGTACAACGGCCGGTCGGGTTCAAAATGTTTCGGGAATCGGAAAAGTTTTTGAAAACCAAATTATGCCCTTTCTTCAACTATGAAAGTTGAAGGCGTAATTTTCTATCAAATGAGCAAAAGAATGAATATTTTTAGAAATGATTTCTACGATATATAATTGAATTTTTAAGGGCATCGAAAATCAATGTGAAAAATTCATGCCACTTAAGTAGCCATTTTTCACCGAGTGAGGTTTCGCATGCGGCCGAAAGAAGTTCGTTTGAAAGCCGGCATTTTGCAGTAACTGACTTATTATGGGATTAGGCTTCACGACGATTAATTTTACAACTCCATTCAAGTAATCTTTTCGAAACGGGGACGCATTTCAGAATTTCGGTTAACATTTCACGAGTTAGCACACCTACTGTATGGGTTTATTTTTCTGAACTTTTGAACTCGCGAAGGAGTCCATCGTCGGTGATAAAAACAGCAGCAGATTAAACAACAGTTATACGGGTTATTAGTCAATACATATCTGTAGGTGACTGCCCAGGGCTCTGTACGCCACAGCCGGATCGCTATATCAGTTGATTAAATTCGTCTCAGTGATCCAGCTTTCAGTTAACTCTCGGCTTGTCTTGCAATTATTTTTTGTGTTTGCGTCGTTGAACTTA